GGGGGGGAGGGGGGGGAAATCGTGCGGATCTTATTTCATGCGGCCATAAGGTCATCGTTAAAAATAAGTAATAACTTCTTTTTAAATTAGTAAATACATAAAACGTCCTTTTTACTATTCGCTCACCATGTACTGCTTTAAAGATATTACGTCTTGTATTTGGAAATGACGAGTAAAAAACATGATAAAAAGTGCAGTTTGTTTCTAACTTTCCCAACAGAGTAAATGCACCATTACAATTAGGCGTCTGCCTGATATTGATTTTACATAGCGTAGTATCTCCGTGTGTGACCCACTACGGTTTAACTGATAAGTTTGATAAGTTTCCAGACTATATCTGCCATGATCTATTAAACTAAACACATCAAAATTTTAATACATCCTACAAATATACCATAAATATAACGATAAATGACCATGCCAGATCGGATGTTGATAATTCTAAACATTATCTTGTTCTCACATCCACTTTAAATCTTTACGAGGATGCACTATACGTAGACATCGTGTTGTCGTGATTACACACTCTGACACCGTGGAGCCGTATCTGTTACAATTGTCGGTTATGTTTCATGATATTAACATTTTGTTGTTGTTGTTTGTTTCCGTTTGATAAGATAAAATGAAAATGAATAAACGTTTACGAGCATGCAGGTACAATATATTGAATTAACTGAAACATTTAAGGATTAACTTGAATATAATTTTTTATGTTATGGAGATATAACACAAAAAGACGGAGTGTACTTTATATATAAACCTGAGAGTACACTCCGTTTTTTTGTGTTACAGCTCCATAACATAAAAAAATATATTCAAGTTAATCCTTATAATTTAATCTCCTTTACACAATCTACTGTCGAAATCCACTTTTATTGATGGACTCTCTCAGAAATTGTTACGCCGCTGTATCAGCCAATCAAAAGCGACGTTATAGACGGCGACGTCATTTTTTACGTGTACTATAATTTTTTAAGCCAATCAAAATGATTGTTGCCAGCAAGATTAAATTATATAAAAATAATGTAAGCACAAAATGTCCAGAATGTGAGTTCAAAATCGACAACAGGGAATGCAGAAGCACTATAGCACTATAATAAGAGTTTGGCGCCCGAGCGAAGCTCTTTAATGGTAACACATGCGTGCGTATACAGAGTTGCTTCCCCTTTCTACACCTTGCCTTTAAACAAAATCGACCGGAAGTAGATGTCCAGTGGGGAAACCGAAAGTGTATCCTTGAAGCAAAGACAATTGTGTTTCAACCCATACATTAACATCTTCATATAGTAAAAGCAATACCCATGTTTTATTACTTGTTTATTTAGATAAAAAAATAATAAACATTCTTAGTGAAAAAAGTCTATCACATAAAATATGATACTAACAGGCATGAAACTTCGTTCAGAGATGATCATACTATGATGTCACAAGCACGTCACAATCCATCGGCCTTCATCGGTTATTTCCGGAAGGATGAAAAATAACCGGAAAATTCTGGAACTGATAGCCGTTGCATTTATCTCTTTGTCGGTGCTTCAAGACTTTTTTTTTATTTCAGTTTTTCTCCACAGGCACAAAAAATAAAAATGCGGATATTTTCTGAAAGTCTCTTTTGTCATCAACCCGGTTCTGTTGTTTTTTTCTACCGGAAGATATCTTCAAAAAAGTGATAATTTAAAATTTCATCAGCTTTTGATTTCCTTTTGTTGAGAATATGAACGAAATAATTGACATTTTTGAAAGTCTGGATATAGTCTTTACATTATTTATGCATCACCACTCATAAAAGAAGCAATGGAAAATGCATTTATGACAAAATTAACAATAATTTTCCAGACAACCAACCCAAGTGCAACGCCCTTTTTCAGCAACGTATTACTTTTTCCCAACGAGTGCCGAATTATAACTAGCTACAGATAGAAACTGTAATTTTATTTGGCATCATTACCTGTCAAACCTCGGTGACAGTTACAAAATTTGAAATTCAATCCGGTGTTTCAGGATGGGACAGTAATTGAGACTACATATCCATATCAAGACACTTTCAGTAAAATCAAAGTCTTACAATGTTTTCTTTTTTTAATTTCATTTTTTAACTAACATCTCTATACATTTACTTAGACTAATCGTCAAATATGTAATATGCACTTTTTTCTATAGTAATTACCAAACAGTTTTCCCCCAGCTTATCTCAATCATTCTATTTGTGCCCTGACGGAAGCACGCAGAGGGTTAAATTCTTAATAAGGGAGGAAGCTGGAGTATCCAGAGAAAATCCGCGTTGTCGGGCAGGTGACCGGGTTTGAATCCGGCCATCTTGGTACTGGCGAGCGCGCTTCTAGTTATGCGAACTTTTTGAAATGGAATTGCTACTTTTTTTACAGGAATACGTGTAAGACACTGGCAGCTTCAAATGATAATACATAAAAGCCAAGCCAATCACTCACTACCATATTGCTGTACGATAAGAATTTATTGAAATATCAATTTGGGCCCGGACAGTTTCGGCCAATGAAACTGTGGCAAGTTCGGCCCATGTAACACATAAAATTTGTAGAATTGGCGGTAAAATCTGACGTTGCATGCTTTATGACGTCCTAATCGTACGGTCATCCGATCTTCCGACAGGAGAGTTAAATAATGTTCAAAAACAGACGTGCTGCCATACTTACTAGAACGGATTTAAATTTTAAAAAGGGCCGAACTTGCCCCTGTCTCCCTATTGTTATGTCGGTCTTAATCTCATTAGAGCTTGCGTTTTATTGTTATTCCTTGACTAGCCGACTTTTAATAAAGTTTATCTTATATCATTCTGAAAAAATTGTATTCTTAATCCGTAAATATCAGAGATCAACAAAAGCTACGCTCTTTTAAGGCTTTGCCTTTTCATATTAAAATCGGAGGCAGATCAATTGTTCCGGAAGTGTAGACGTTTACGACACTTCAGATGCCGTATTAATATAACAAAAATAAAACAAAAATATTTTATTTTTTTTACAAAGAAATGTAGTTTAAATCGCATCTCGCGATGATTTATTGAAAATGGAAGTAAATAAATAAAACTCCAGGACTGCAGTGGTCAGACTTGGGCCCTGTACCCTGCTTGTCGCATATGGTGCTGTCCAGGAACTATATATGCAAGCCATCAAAATTATAGATCATTACTTTGACAAGGTAAGTACAAAATTGTAACTCTAAAAAATAAAAATAAAAGCTTTTACATTTATTTATATTCCAAATTAACGCTCATAAATGGAACTCTTCTATGATATTATAGCTGATGCAGTGTACCCGTTACCTTAATCATGTCACACACGGCATGAAATGTCATAATTGGAAATCACGTGTTCATAACGTCCTAGTTTAACTCCCCGTCAAAGTAATTAATTCGCCCACAGGAACTAACTGTTTTACAGACATATAAACAGCACAGGATGGATGTAGGAAATCAAGTTCTCTCCAGCCATTAGACGTAACATCGACAACAATGCATGGTATCTCAATTTGGATATTTTAGAAGTTACGCAAGAACTATTCCTATCCTTGACAGCAGTTGTTTCTCCGAGGAGCACAACCAACAGAACAAACAGCAAGCATAGCCATAAAAGAAGCGTTTATTAGCTAGTTTCTTTAATTATATCGGAATCATTAGAAATGTATACTGTACACTGGTGTCATAGGCACCTTTCCCTTTTTGCTTTATTCTTCATGTTTCGGAAAACTTTGATTTTTTTTTATATACGATAGTACCAAAACAGTGAAACACTACTCGCTCGTATAATATATATTATATATGTGGAACACAGAAACTTTCCTTCGTGTAATAAAACAACGTATTTCTAATCAGAAGTGTTTTGATATAGAAAGCCTGACAGTTTGCTTGTTGCTCTGTAGTAACTGTTTAATCTATATGGACACAAACAATGCGAATGTTCTAGGTATTAAGCAGATGTTAAGCTTATTTATTGTAGAGAATCTTTGACACTGTGCTGATCAAACTAAAAAAGGCAATTCTCTCGTAAAACATGGACGTGTTCCTGATAGCCATGCTATGGGCCGGGTATAACTTTGGGGGATGTAGACAGGTTGATGCCCCTTTTTAAGCATGTTTTCAATTTATGATATGGTCTTGAGAATCGTGTGCGACTTCTTGAAGACTCTTAAGAGTTTTATTTCTTGTCTTAAAAAGCTCGTGTATAAATGCTATATATATATATATATATGAAAGCATAACATATATATATAGCTGGAAAAATTATAAATTTTTAAAACAAATGCAATATCTTACATTATTTCGAAACTAAAATTATAACAAAAACACTGCAAGTAATTGCAGTATTTTTTTTACAATAAATACATTTATTATAGTAAAATGAGAATGAATTCAATTGTACACAGTGCTAAGAAATTAATACAAACAATAATTGTTTACCCTTCTTCATGTATGTCAAATTCAACACAAAACCCCTATCGCCTGCTTTGATGGGGTGAAGGGATCGTCAGAAGCCTCATTAATTAAATATAGACAAACGAAACATATTAACATACCTCGTGTGTTTAAACTAAGTGTTTTATATTGGAAATTTATTTTTCTATATAAAGCCTAATATGTTGTTGGTCGATCCATTATAACAGTGTTTCATCTATATGAATGTACACAATGGGAAAGCTATTGGGTTCTCGACAGATGTTTAAGGTATATATCGTAGATAACACTGTGCTGGGCAAACATTCAGGGGCCAACTTCTCTGACAAAATGGACGTGTTCCTGATAGCCATGCTATGGGCCGGACTCGGTATAACTTTGGGGGATGTAGACAGGTTGTTGCCCTCCTTCCCCAGTTCCCCAGAGGATGTTGGTATTCATGTTTTAGATTTAATATATGACCTTGAAAATCGTGTGCGACTTCTTGAAGACTCTCGTTCAAAAGATGTCAGACGCATGCGTGATATGCAATCTGAGATTGACGAACTAAAATCTGACAACTATCGTCTACAGCAACAGTCTTCTTATCGTACTACCGATGTCACCACTAACATACACAAAACACCGTCAGATAATCACTTTAGTGATGAGTTTGTTTCGGAAAGTAGACAAAAACCAGTATACAAGTTTGTACAAAACAATACTGCAAGTATCATGTTAATGAAGAATGAAGACGGACCAAGAAGCACCAAACCGGATGTACTGTCAAAACGAACGAAAACCATACAAAGCCTGTTTAGGCGTCGCCGCGGGAATGCGCCATCGATTCCTAAACGCACGGGTTCTACTCGTGTCGGTAAGCAACAATCGAACATTGGAGTTCGTGATTTGTCCATAGGGAGTTTGAGGTTTTGATATAAAAAAGATGGTAAACACAGTAATACAAGACTTTTCTTAATCAAAATAATACCCGATGCTTCTATGCTATCCAATCAGTTTAAAGACGACCAGACATCATGCTACCTTTTTTTTGAAAATATACAATTGAAAATTATAATGATTATTAAAATAAATCTTTGATTTGCAATTATTTCTGCATTTACTTATATCAATAGGAACTGAACCATTTTGTATAAGGGTTGAATTCAAAGAAACCAAATATTTAGGTACATAAAATTATGTCAGATATTCTTGAATGTTCTGAAGATTGTGGGTCAATAAAGTCATGTGTTGGTATAATAGGGTGTCATTGAATTTTATTAACGGAGATATCTTCTTTAAGGCTGATACCTTGTTGTTGGAAAGTTTGCTTTTTTTACAGAATTTTCTCTTCCGTACTTTGCAGGATCGACGAATGTAATTGCCTTTCATGCAATTCTGGGAACCACTGTCACCGCACCCGCCGTCAACCATGAGATCGTTTACGATCATGTTATCACCAACAACGGCAATATGTACTCTTCACTCACGGGGACATTCACCTGTCAACAGCCGGGTACTTACGTCTTCTCGTGGAGCACACTTACAAATGCCAATAACTTTTTAGATTCCCATCTTGTGAAGAATGGCGTCAGAATGGGGTCCATTGTTAACCCGCGAGGCACTCATTCCGGTTCGACTAGTGGTTTGGTTGTGATACAGCTGGATGAGGGAGATCTGGTCTGGGTTAGGGTTGGAAATCATGACAGCAGTGCTAACGTATATGCCAGTTGGAGCATGTTCTCTGGCTTTAAACTGAACTGATACTTATTGAGATAATAAAACAGCCTTACAAATGTGTGATGATATTTTATTAAACTGCAGGATGAGTGTACATTGGTTTGGATATGTATCTACAAAAGATCAAAAGTTCACTGTAATGTATGTATCTTAGAGATATGTGCCATTGTCTCATTCTTAATGGGTTGTTTTATTATTGCATACTATTTATGTCATTGGTTCGTGGAATGGATGGGCCATCGACTTGTCCAGATGTTGTAATAACTCATTTGAATATGCCATCTTAATACGTCAAATCAACATTATGAGTATAGCACCTCTATTTCATTGTATAGTATACTGCACGTTTTGTCCAAACTATGAGCTAAAACATAACACAACTTCGATAAGAAAACTACAATAATCACAAGATGAGTAAATATTACACCTTGTTTGGCCTCAGGCGCCTGAACTTCACCGGTCATAGATCCCAAGTTCCTTTTCCTCGGAACCTCTCTAGTAAATAAACAGCATAAACAAACATGATTTTTGTCGGCAAAACTGCAATTGAAATGATGTAAAATGTTAACTTGACCTGTTATGAAGATGTAAAATTGAAAGACTAATTAATAATCACAATGTTCAAACATAAATGTTAATACATCTGCTGTTACCCATTGCATGTTTTATGCTATATGAGGTATAATACATCTGCTGTTACCCATGTTTTATGCTATATGAGGTAACCTATATGAGGTAGCCCCCTGTAGAAATGTGGGTATGCTTTTGTGAACAACAAAGGGACCAAAGTAAATAGGATCCACCAATTGCAACATTTGGGATCTAAATTATGTTGTTTTATCCTAACAAACTTTCTGTTATCTAACGCTTTCCTTTAAAATAAAGTACTTAGAGTTCCCTACTAAACGTCCAGTATCTACAATAATGGCAATCATGTGACTAAGTGGACTGTTGTTCTGGGTGCCTTTGGCATTGCATTTCAATGAGTTAAGCTCTAACGTCGGCGTACATTTTGCGCTATAACAAGAAGGCAAATTCACCAACCTACCGCTTACTATACACATATGTATACAGTACATACATTGACACATGTCGTTGATGCCTTTAGCTGTAAAAACCAATCAAAACAATGACGCACCGCCTCCATCAATACTGTCAAAAATTATACTGAATAAGGAATGTATAACATCACGGGATATAAAACATCACTTAAACTTATTATTCTGGCCATACAGAAGCAGCTCATGCACCAAGAAAGATAGGGTAAATATCACAGTTTTATCGTATTAGTATAAAAGCGACCCTCAAATTCAATACGAAGAGACAACAACAGTAATTAAAGCAATCAAAGCAAAACAAAAGACATCAGGAACCGTCAGAGAAATCGATCGTCTGTTGCACCACGTTTTGTATCTATCATGATGTCCCCTGCTTACGTCAGATCAAGGTTAATGTGTAGGTCAACATCGACAAGGTTAACAAAGCTCAATGGTGCATGATGAAATCCAGAAGTTAAAAATCGGAATATAATGACAACAGTATTGTTTTTCTTCTTCGTTGATTGTAACTTTGAAAAAACTAGATAAATTAATTAATGATCAACCGAATGCATCTATCAAGAATATGATAATACTAACAACAGGCTCCAGAGCAGTAAATCAACTGATAAGGCTGATATCTACTGAGAAAAGTCGTCAAGTTTGAACTATAGGAGGTTGACAATATCGTTATTCCGCCTTGCGTATTGCAGCGTTATCTTCTCTTGAGAGCAGGTATTGAGTGCTGTCGAGGAGGTGCCTGTGGGAAATGTCACAATATGAAGCTGTCAAGGGGGTGCCTGTGGGAAATGTCACAATATGAAGCTGTCAAGGGGGTGCCTGTGGGAAATGTCACAATATGAAGCTGGCGAGGAGGTGCCTGTGGGAAAGGGCACAATATGAAGCTGTCGAGGAGGTGCCTGTGGTAAGGTGCCCATTAGTAACGTTCTGTAGGTAACTGTGGGAACTGTGGGAAATGTCACAATATGAAGCTGTCGGGGAGGGGCCTGTGGTAAGGTGACCATTAGTAACGTTCTGTAGATAACTGTGGGAAATGTCACAATATAAAGCTGTCGAGGAGGTGCCTGTGGGAAATGTCACGATATGAAGCTGTCGAGGAGGTGCCTGTGGGAAATTTCACAATATGAAGCTGTCGAGGAAGTGCCTGTGGTAAGGTGACCATTAATAACGTTCTCTAGGTAACTGTGGGAAATGTCACAATATGAAGCTGTCGGGGAGGGGCCTGTGGTAAGGTGACCATTAGTAACGTTCTGTAGATAACTGTGGGAAATGTCACAATATAAAGCTGTCGAGGAAGTGCCTGTGGTAAGGTGACCATTAGTAACGTTCTGTAGATAACTGTGGGAAATGTCACAATATAAAGCTGTCGAGGAAGTGCCTGTGGTAAGGTGACCATTAATAACGTTCTCTAGGTAACTGTTGGAAATGTCACAATATGAAGCTGTCGAGGAGGTGCTTGTGGTAAGGTGACCATTAATAACGTTCTCTAGGTAACTGTGGGAAATGTCACAATATGAAGCTGTCGAGAAGGTGCCTGTGGTAAGGTGACCATTAATAACGTTCTCTAGGTAACTGTGGGAAATGTCACAATATGAAGCTGTCGAGAAGGTGCCTGTGGTAAGGTGACCATTAATAACGTTCTCTAGGTAACTGTTGGAAATGTCACAATATGAAGCTGTCGAGGAGGTGCCAGTGGGAAATGTCACAATATGAAGCTGTCGAGGAGGTTCCTGTGGGAAATGTCACAATATGAAGCGGTCGAGGAGGTGCCTGTGGGAAATGTCACAATATGACGCTGTCGAGGAAGTGCCTGTGGTAAGGTGACCATTAATAACGTTCTCTAGGTAACTGTTGGAAATGTCACAATATGAAGCTGTCGAGGAGGTTCCTGTGGTAAGGTGACCATTAGTAACGTTCTGTAGGGAACTGTGGGAAATGTCACAATATGAAGCTGTCGAGGAGGTGCCTGTGGTAAGGTGACCATTAATAACGTTCTCTAGGTAACTGTGGGAAATGTCACAATATGAAGCTGTCGAGGAGGTTCCTGTGGTAAGGTGACCATTAGTAACGTTCTGTAGATAACTGTGGGAAATGTCACAATATAAAGCTGTCGAGGAAGTGCCTGTGGTAAGGTGACCATTAGTAACGTTCTGTAGGTAACCTTGGGAAATGTCACAATATAAAGCTGTCGAGGAAGTGCCTGTGGTAAGGTGACCATTATTTACGTTCTGTAGGTTACTGTGGGAAATGTCACAATATGAAGCTGTCGAGGAGGTGCCTGTGGGAAATGTCACAATATGAAGCTGTCGAGGAAGTGCCTGTGGTAAGGTGACCATTAGTAACGTTCTGTAGATAACTGTGGGAAATGTCACAATATAAAGCTGTCGAGGAGGTGCCTGTGATAAGGTGACCATTAGTAACGTTCTGTAGGTAACTGTGGGGAATGTCACAATATGAAGCTGTCAAGGAGGTGCCTGTGATAAGGTGACCATTATTTAGGTTCTGTAGGTAACTGTGGGAAATGTCACAATATAAAGCTGTCGAGGAAGTGCCTGTGGTAAGGTGACCATTAGTAATGTTCTGTAGGTAACTGTGGGAAATGTCACAATATGAAGATGTCGAGGAGGTGCCTGTGGTAAGGTGACCATTAGTAACGTTCTGTAGGTAACTGTGGGAAATGTCACAATATAAAGCTGTCGAGGAAGTGCCTGTGGTAAGGTGACCATTATTTACGTTCTGTAGGTTACTGTGGGAAATGTCACAATATGAAGCTGTCGAGGAGGTGCCTGTTGTAAGGTGACCATTAGTAACGTCCTGTAGGTCACTGTGGGAAATGTCACAATATGAAGCTGTCGAGGAAGTGCCTGTGGTAAGGTGACCATTAGTAACGTTCTGTAGGTAACTGTGGGAAATGTCACAATATGAAGCTATCGAGGAGGTGCCTGTGGTAAGGTGACCATTATTTACGTTCTGTAGGTAACTGTGGGAAATGTCACAATATGAAGCTGTCGAGGATGTGCCTATGGGAAATGTCACAATATGAAGCAGTCGAGGAGGTGCCCGTGGTAAGGTGACCATTAGGAACGTTCTGTAGGTAACTGTGGGAAATGTCACAATATGAAACTGTCGAGGAGGTGCCTGTGGAATCTGATGGATTAATGAAATCTTTGTTGTTCTCTTATTCATTGTTATGCAAGGACATAACATATTTAATTAATTGACCGTGTTAATGTCTAATCGCCTTTCTTAACAAACTGTTTGGTGAATTCGGTTTCATCAGAATGCAAAATAGGTCAACTAGAACTGACATACGGTCACCGCCAGTTACTAAAACGATAAAATTAAAAAGGTTGTTTGATATAAAAAGTACATTCTTTGAAAAACAAATAAAATAGAAAATGTATTACTCGTGGTAGTTATGTGTCACAATAAATGCAATCCTTTAAGATAAAAATTAAATGAACGTAAATATCCAAGCCATCACATCAATATAAAACTCTTTTTCCATTAAATATCTGTGTTTCAAAACCTGTCTCGCAATATATCACATAAACATAAAAAAGGAAACTTTTCTCTTGGCGTACATTTGTCAATATTTATCACTATTAAGCACTGCTCTTGAGGTACACGTGATAACAGTAGATTTAAGTTTATGTCCTTTCGTTGTTGAGAGTTTAATTGTGCTGTTGAGTAGATGCACGGGGACGTTTACAGCTCAAATAGAGCATGATTTATCAATCTGCATCTTTGATTTGAAATATTCAAATCGTTTATATTGAATTTCTTAAAGAGATGAAATGAAATCAAACACTGGAATTGCGCTTATATCAATAAATATTCATTTACCTTGTTTCTTTCAATGTATTGGAAGATATCAGTGATAAAACAATTTGAAGTAATTAAGGCGTCTGTAGGTTTGATATCTATATACACGTACTAATGTACATAGACGGTGATATTAATACTGGCTCAATAAATACCTTAGACCCCGTCACACACATACCTCGTACTCAAAACCCTTTATAC